TGAAAAATCCTTCCTTTGCCTTCTTACCACTACCAAAACCTCATAAACCCTCTAATTTCTGAGGTTTTGCATTAACAAAAAGGATGGCGAGGGAGTTCCCGGACGACTTTATGTGCCCGATATCGCTTGAGATAATGTCCGACCCGGTAATCCTGTCATCGGGTCACACCTTCGATCGCGCCTCAATCCAGCGATGGTTGGACTCCGGCCACCGCACCTGTCCGATTACCAAGCTGCCTCTCCCTGAGCACCCATCTCTCATCCCCAATCACGCTTTAAGGTCCTTAATTTCCAACTATACTAACATTTCCCTTCCAAAATCACAATCCTGCTCTGAACCCCAAGCACCCATATCCATTCTAACTTCTCGATCTTCTTCACTTGAGTCAAAGTTGGAGTCTTTGAGCCAACTGGGTAGACTCAGCAAGGGAGACTCGGCTCTCCGTCGTAGGCTCACCGAGGCAGGGGCTGTTCCTGTAGTTCTCCGTTGTGTTGATTCGTACGACCCGGGTTTGCAAGAGAAGGCGCTTTCTTTGCTTCTTAATCTCAGCCTTGACGATGATAATAAAGTGGGTTTGGTTGCAGAAGGCGCAGTTAATCGGGTCGTGAAGGTTTTGCGTGTTGGGTCACCGGATTGCAGGGCTATAGCGGCCACGCTGATTACGAGTTTGGCGGTCGTTGAAGTGAATAAGGCCATAATTGGAGCGTATCCAGATGCGATACCGGCGTTGGTTTCGCTTCTTATTGAAGGAGAAGGCAGAGAGAAGAAAGAGGCTGCAACTGCCCTTTATGCCATATCTTCTTTTGCTGATAATAGAAGAAGAGCCATAGTCTGCGGAGCTGTGCCTATATTAATGAAATTATTAGATTTAGGGCTTGAAAGAGCTATTGAAGTGCTAGGGGTTTTAGTAAAGTGCAAGGAGGGGAGAGAAGAGATGGAGAAGGTTGATGGTTGTGTTAAAGTTTTGGTTTGGGTGTTGAGAAATGGTAGTGCTAGAGGGGTGCAGTATGCTTTGTTTACATTGAACTGTTTATCCTGTTATAGTGAGGAAATTTGTTTGGAATTGAGAAGTGAAGGGGTTATGGAGATTTGTATTGGGTTACTGGAGGATGATAACGATAAGATTAGACGGAATGCATCAACTTTGCTTCAGACTTTGAGAGGGAATCGAGCTCTAAGGTAATTACTAAGATTTGGTGTTTGCTATGGAGGGGAGTTGGTGAATTGTTTGGCCAAACAAAAAAATGGAGGTGAGTTGGTTTTGTTTAGTTTCCTTTTCTTAATTGCTTGTGAGAAATTGGACAGTGTAAAAACGGAGTAGGTTTTGTATCTTGTAAATTTGAATAATGGGGAAAGGAATGGGGGCTGTTGGTGCTCCCTGGTTTTAGATTCTTACTCGGAAAAGAATTTTTCAAATTAGTTACCACAATTGTAATTCTGTTTCAGTTCAATTAAAAAATTTCTTTTTCTTGAGGCATGGTTGCTGTCGTTTCTTTTTTTACCATATTGTTGTCTTTCAATTGTCTAATTAATAGCCTTAATAAAAGAATTATGGATCCATAATATTTTCCGTTTGTTCGTGAACTTTCTGAGATTGGAGCTGAAAGCTGATGTCAGTTGTTACCAGCATGCATTGGATGTAAGATGCTTTGGCTCTGTAACGTATTAACTATAAGTGTTGCTGGAATACAAGTGATCTTTGAAACCTTAATCATGTCAGATATGCATACAATTGGACTTGAGATAAAATGAATAATTTTGCTGTTAGTTGATTTTCCTCGTGAATGCTACATGAGTTGTTATCTTTTGTAGTGTTGTTTGCATGGTTCCAGATTTCTGTCCTGACAAAAAGAAAGGAAATTTTGAAATGAAAGCTTTTCTATATTTGCCTTCTATTGTTAAAATTGTCTCACTAATGTCTATGGTTGGGTTTAAAGAGTCCTCTCATTTAATTCATGATAAATAGAATGCTTTTGTTGGCTTATGATGTTTCCATGCATAATCAGGGGTATTGATTGTTGGCCTAAAAAAACAACTAGGGGTGTTGAGTTGAAGAACAAATTATTGTATGTGAAAAGCTGGTATATATGATCATTCATATCTGCAACAGAGCACAAAGAGTATGGAAGCTAACTCATCCAACTTGATTAATTGGGTTGTTAGGTTAGCTGGAGTGCCTGGCCACGGAAACAGTTAGGCAGGTTACAGCGTGTTTCCCAAGGTGCTAATTTCCTAGGTGGAGAGTATATTTCCCCAGTTTGGGAGAACTTCTTCCCTAGAGTTATCTCCCTGGGGCCTAAAAAAATTGGCCTCTTGAGAGCATGGATTTTGAGGTTTATTTGTAATTCAATCAATTGATTTTAATGTAAAGTTGCATTATCAATTACTGCTCATGTATACATGCATACCAGTCTGATAATTGATATATATGTTCTGGATTGAGCCAACTTGGTCCACTTTTTAGGTTTCTATCCTCTTATTTTTAACCTTATTGTGTGTTATTATGTGCATTTGCATGGGAAATTTGTTAATTTGATGTGACCTACTCTACCTTTATTACTTAGCAAATCTTGTGCATTTCGACCAAGATTGGATTTGCAATATTACTCGATTCAGCAAGATGCGCAATGCTCATTTTTCACCATATATGTTGATAGGCGGGTTGAATCACACGAACGTAGTTATATTCTTAGTCAGGGACGGCGCTACCATAGGACCCGGC